AGTCTGCCTGCCCGTGCCTGCAATTTGATCAGTATGCATTTTGTCGAGAAATAGGACATTGGGGAAAAAATTGCCCACAGTTAATGGGAGAACAGGGCAATCCTAAGCATGAAGATCCAGATAAAAAATGAAGGGGCTCTGTTCAATCTAATGGAAGGGCCGCTGGACTAAAAGAGAGGGGGGTCAGACTCATTTGCCCCCAAAGAGCCGGCAGTCCTGATGACAGCCCTGTAACCCTCATGGAAAAAAAAAACAGAACCAATATTGTTAGAGCTATTAAGCAGTTAAGAGAACTGACTTTCTTGTATTTAATGGACTGCCCCTGCCATTCAACAAAAGAGACTCCCTGCAGCTAAAAATGCCTCAGGCAGGGGTCATCCAGGCTCTCATTGTCCCTTGGGAAGGAGGGTGGAGACTTCCTAGCCAGAAGCAGAAGACTGATATTATCACCCAGGCCTGTGCAGGGCTTGCGTGGCTTTGCACCCAACTCATACACACAGTTGGGAATATTGCCAGCAGAGGATAGTTGGTTCACTTAATTGGACTTAAAGAATACCTCCTTAGCATTCGACTGGCCTCGGAGGGTCAAAAACTATTTGCATTTCAATGAGAGAAACCCAGAAGCAGGTATAACTGCTCAATACACCTGGACCCAGCTTCCCAGGGAATCAAAAACTGTCTCATCATCTTTGGGGAGGCATCAGCCCATGATCGCCCTGCAGAAGCTTCTTGCTTGCACGCCGCCTCCATATGCTCATAACCTTCTATTGGGACACCCCAGGGCAGTCGAGTGCGCAAACAAATGCCTTACTTCGGCACCTGGAGGACCGTGGGTATAAAGTGTCTAAAAGGAAAGCCCAGATTTGCCAAAAAGCAAATGCAATATCTAAGGCTCACCATCCGGAAGGGGGAACGCGGCCTAGAAGCAGAGAGGAAGCAAGCCCCTTGCAAAGCGACAGAACCTGAGAATGAAAGGCAGGTGAGAGAGCTCCTGGGAGCGGTGGGTTTTGTAAATTGTGGATTTCCAAACTTCGTAGTACTAGCCAAACCCCTCTATGATGTGACAAAGGGTGGAGACAAGGAGCCCTTTGAATGGGGATCCCAGCAGCGTCAGGCCTATCAGGAACTGAAAACAAAACTAATGTCAGCTCCAGCTTTGGGGCTGCCTGATTTAACAAGGCCCTTTATGTTATATGTGACAGAAAGAGAAAAAGTGGCAGTTGGGGTTCTAGTCCAAATAGTAGGACCTTGGCCCAGGCCTGTAGCTTACCTCTCCAAGCAGCTGGATGGAGTTTCCAAAGGATGGCCCCCATGCTTAAGGGCCCTGGCAGCAACTGCTCCGCTAGCACAAGAAGCAGATAAGCTAACTCTGGGGCAGAACTTAAATATGAAGGCACCTCACAAAGTAGTGACTCTAATGAATACCAGAGGGCACCCCTAGTTATCAAATGTTAGGCTGACCAAATACCAGGGCCTGCTATGTGGAAATCCCTGCAACACCATTGAAGTCTGCAACACCTCAAACCCCACCACTTTGCTCCTAATGTCAGAGGGTCCCATTGAACATAACTATGTTGAAGTCCTGCACACAGTCTATTCTGGCAGGCCTGATCTTTGGGATCAGCCATGGACAGTACTAGACTGGGAGTTGTATGTAGATGGGAGCAGCTTTGTCAATCCACGAGGGGACAGATGTGCAGGCTACGCCATGGTAACTCTGGACACTGTAATTGAGGCCAAATCCCTGTCTCAGGGCACCTCAGCTCAGAAGGCTGAACTCATTGCTTTAACTCGAGCTCTAGAGCTGAGTAAAGATAAGGTTGTAAACATTTACACTGACTCGATATGCCTTCCTGACTCTCCAAGTACATTGAGCACTGTACAAAGAGAGAGGCCTGTTAACTTCAGGGGGAAAGAAAGAAAGTATCAGCATGAAATTTTGCAGCTGCTAGAAGCAGTCTGGAAGCCCCGGAGGGTGGTGGGCATGCATTGCCGAGGACACCAGTGGGCCCACACCGCCATGGCCCTGGGAAATTCCCGAGCAGATTCAGCAGCTCATAAGGCAGCATCTGCCCCCTACCAAATAGCAGTTACAGCCCCGCTAGATCCCTGATCCAATACATACTTACTCTGAGGAGGAAAGAGACTTTCTCCAGACAGAAGGGGGCAACTGATTAAAGAAGGATGGATCCAACCACCAGATGAAGAATAGCAGTACTGTAGCTGCTGGGGGCAGCAGTTGTACAAGCCGTACATAAGACCACTCATTTAGGTCAAGAGTCGCTTGAAAAGATGTTGGGCCGGTATGTTTACGTCTCACACTTAGCAGCCTTGACCAAAACTGTGGCACAGCGATGCATTACACGTCAGCAACACAATTCGAGGCAGGGTCCAACTATTCCCCCTGGAATTCAAGCTTATGGAGCAGCTCTGTTTGAAGATCTCTTTATTGAAATGTCCAAGTATGGGGGACATAAGTATTTGTTGGTCCTGGTGTGCACGTACTCTGGATGGGACTGAAAGAGCCCATGAAGTAACTCGTGTGCTGCTTCGAGACCTTATCCCTAGGTTTGGACTGCCACTGCACATAGGAGCAGACAGTGGACCAGCATTTGTGGCAGATTTAAGCTGGAAAACAGCAACGGCCTTGGGTATCACCTGGAAACTGCACACTGCCTACCGACCTCAGAGTTCCAGAAAAGTGGGAAAAATGAACCGGACCATCAAAAACAGCTTAGGGAAAGTGTGTCAGGAAACAAGATTAGAGTGGGTGCAGGCACTTCCCTTGGGGTTATTAAAAATCAGAGGCACTCCCTTTAGGAAAAACAGGATATTCCCCTATTAAGTCTTATACCATAGGCCCCCTCCCCTACTTTGGGCACTCCTAGAAACTCCTCTGGAGTGCGGAGAGATTGAGTTAGGATGGTAGAAACTCCTTGGGAGTGCGGAGAGATTGAGTTAGGATGGTAGTTACCAGCTCTAAGGAGAATCGCTTAGGATACTTCCACCTAGGTAAATAACAAATGTCCCATAAGCCTTTTTCTCCCCAGTTCACCCTTTCTCACTCGGTAGTCACGTGTGGATAAAGGACGGGAGTACAGCCCCTCTAAAGCCACAATGGAAAGGACCTCAGACCTGATCCTGACCAATCCCACAGCCGTGAAGGCAGAGGGAATCCCAGCCTGAATCCACCACAGCCATGTAAAAACCAGCAACAGCTAGACTTAGACCAAGGCAAGGACTGCAGAATCACCTTAAAAAGGACAACAAGCCTTGCTCCAGCCACGTCCCGGAAGCTGGCTGGTCCATGCACAGCTGAAGCATGAGGAGATTCATTGTGGAACTTGTTCTTAATATTTGGACTTATACAGTAGGAGCATTAACTAATTTTGAAGAATGCCCTCAGTATGTACACCAGGTAGGACATAAAAGTTACTGTCATTCTTTTGTCCTGCAGTTCTTATAAATGTACGGGAACACAGAAGGGAACCTGTTTATATAATGGTACTCAATATAAGGTGTGTAATCCGTGAGATGGACAGGTGGCTGTGTCATAGGCATCATTAAGCCCTCTTTCTTCCTATTATCTATTAAGATAGGTGAGCTGTTAGGGAATCCAGTTTACTCCGAGAGGGAGAAGAGAGACCTAAAACTAGGGAACTGGACAGATGATGAGTGGCCACTGGAGAGAATTATTGAGTACTATGGGCCGGCCACATGGGCTGAGGATGGCTCATGGGGATACTGGACCCCTATTTACATGCTCAACCAGATCATCCGGTTGCAGGCTATTTTGGAAATACTAATGAAACGGGCAAAGCTCTGCCCCTCTTGGTCTGACAAGAAACTCAAATGAGAAACGCGATTTATCAGAACCGGCTGGCCCTAGATTATTTGCTAGCAGTCGAAGGGGGAGTCTGTGGAAAATTCAATCTAACCAACTGCCATCTGCACATAGTTGACCAGGGGCAAGCAGTGGAGACATGACCAAACTGGCACACGTGCCTGTAGAGGTATGGCACGGATTTAACCCTGAGTCCTTATTTGGGGGTTGGTTCTCATCCTTGGGAGGATTCAAAACCCTCATCATAAGTGTTATAATAATAATAGGTGTTTGTTTACTGCTCCCTTGTCTACTCCCCCTGTTCCTTCAGATGATTAGGGGATTCATCAGTACTGTAGGTAGCCAAAAAATGACACCACAAGTATATTACATGAAACATTATCAGTCAGTTTCTTCAGAAAATCTGGAAAGTGAGATGAAAGTGAGACCTCTCACTAATATTATAAAGTGGTGAAGGTCTCAAAGGAGGGGGGGTGAAGAGGGAGATCCAGGCATCTCAAATCAACTTCCCCTTTTCATTCCTAAGACTAAACCGAAACCCTTTTCATACGTTAAGTTATAAACCTAAGATTCTTCCACGTGTAACATCTAAAGTATAAGCCTATATAAAGAAGGAACCTTCCTTTGTTAGGGGAGCTTGGCTGTTAGGCAACAATGCCACCTTGCTCCCTGCGAAAAAACTCCTTCCTCCTGTATTCGGTGTCCCAGAGATCCGTTCCCGTGGCCGCTCCTGTTACAATATGGTAATCCTGTTTTTAGTTTTTCGAGGAACCTCGGTACAGTTTTCCATAACAGCGGTATTAATTTATATTCCCACCAACAGTGTACAATCGCTGACTTTTCTTCACATCCTCACCAACACTTATCTTTTGTCTTTTTTTTTTTTGAGATGGAGTCTTGCTCTGTCACCCAGGCTGGAGTGCAGTGGGGGAATCACAGCTCACTGCAACCTCTGCCTTCCGGATTCAAGTGATTTTCCTGCTTCAGGCTCCTCAGTAGCCAGGATTACAGGTGTCCGCCACCACACCCGGCTAATTTTCGTATTTTTCATAGAGACAGAGTTTCATTATATTGGCCTGGCTGGTCTCCAACTCCTAACCTCAGGTGATCCGCCTGCCTTGGCCGCCCAAAGTTCTGGAATTACAGGTGTGAGCCACCGCACCAGGACTGGTTTTCATTTTTATGTAATCCCCTTTGCCTGTTTTTGCTTTTCTTGCCTGTACTTTCAGGGTCAAATTTAAAAAACTCTTTGCTCAGAGATTTTGCTCCAAGAAAGACTTAATGATGCTGTGACGACTGTTCCAAATCTCCAGGGCTACATTGATCTTCCTCCAGCCTCCAGCAAATGCTTTCACAAGTGCTTTTTTCCAGACCAGAGCAAGACCCAGAGGCTTACTGGAACCTGCAAGACTCCAGCGTGTGGCCTGGTGGCGCGGGGACGGCCAGGAGAGCGCAGAGAGGAGCCAGGAGTTCGGGATGGCACGCTGCAGAGGCAGCTAGCGGCCATGAGGGGGAGCGCGCGGGCTCCGGAGCCATTACGCGTCGCAAAGGGTGGGACTCGTGGGCGCAGCGCATGCGTTCGAAGGGAGGCGGAGGCGCAGGTCCGGGCGGAGAGCAATACGGACGGTGGCCGAGAGGCACAAGGAGGTGGACGGTGGCCGACAAGATCGGGCATGGAGCATCTGGAGCGCTGCGCATGGTTCCTCCGGGGGACGCTAGTGCGGGCGGCCGTGCGGCGCTATCTGCCCTGGGCGCTGGTGGCCTCCATGCTGGCGGGCTCCCTCCTCAAGGAGTTGTCCCCGCTGCCCGAGAGCTACCTCAGCAACAAGCGCAACGTCTTCAACATGTGAGTGTACCCAGGTCTTCTGCTGTTCCAGCCAGAGCCGGCCCGTTGTCGCCTCGCGCAGCGAAGCCGGGGCTAGCTGCCGTGGTGGACGAGTCATTGGAGGGGAGGTCCTCCTCCCAGCCGTGAGAGCAGCATCTGCACGCGTGTCCCTCCTGGGGGGCCCGGGGTAGTGGGTGTCACTAGCAGTTCGTGTTTGCAGACTCACGTTGGGCAGCCTGAGCTTGACTGGGCAGGCGGTGGCGAGCGGAGTCGTGTGTGTCTCTGTGTGTAGGGTGTGCAGTGGGGTGGGGATGAACCAGCCCATGTCGCCATTCCCCCGCCTTCCCTTGGAGTTAGGAGCTGGCCCCTGACCTGTTTGGGAGATGCCACCTCATTGTCCTGCCTGTGTCAGACCCCGCACAGACCCCACCCTGCGCCAAATCAGATCTCCGCGGTTGTGGCAGAATCCCATCATCACCTGTGGAAGAGCCTTGCCCTAGCCTGTGACAGACAGAGCCACCGCTCCGAGATACTCACAGAGGAGTGGAACCCCCTAGTCTGTGCCCTTTCCCCTGGATCTCCTTGGATTATCTCCGCCACTCAGAATGCATGGCAGTGGCCCAGAAAAGCAGTCCCAGCCGGGGCTTTGAGACAGCGCCCTAGCTCCACCCATCCACTCCTTTGCTTGCTTGCCTTCTTTTTTCAAAACTCCTGGCCAGTAAGTTTATTGCACAAACCTGTGCAATAAATGGGAATTCTGAAAGATAAAACTGCTCCTTTGATGTTAGCCTAAGCGTCTTCCAGAATAAGTGTCTCCAGCGTGTCATGAAGGTCAGCCCAACTTTGGTTATCTGCTTAAAACCCTGGTTTCTCTCACAGGCAGCTCCCTCAAATGCCTGACGGGTCTTGGCTCTGGCGAGATCTTCCTTATCAGTCCCAGTGAAGATTTTAGTGACGGGCCCTGGGGTGGTGCCCTAGAAGCCATTGGAACCTAGAAAAGAGTCCTTCTGTCCTTGGCCCACCGTCCTTCCTCACCTACCCTGAGAGGCTGGGCTAAGAATAGGTCATGAGGGTGGTAGTAGTGGCCCCAAGTCTCTGTCCTGCGTTTAGGTCAGCACCCTTCCTGAGCACAGGGGAGGCAGGCAAGGCAGCTGCTGCTTCCTCTGGCCTAAGTGAGCTGGGAGCCAAGTGGCCTGGCTGACAACACACCCCTGCTGTTTTGGGGGTAGCCATGGATCCTGGAGTTTTGTTCCAAGCCTCTGTGCTGATTAATGAGAGGGAACTAGTTAATCTAAATCTGGAAGGGATCTTAAAAATCATTTGGTCCAGGCCGGGTGCGGTGGCTCACGCCTGTATTTCCAGCACTTTGGGAGGCTGAGGCGGGTGGATCACAAGGTCAAGAGATCAAGACCATCCTGGTCAACATGGTTAAACCCTGTCTCTACTAAAAATACAAAAAAAAAAAAAAAAAAAAAAAAATTAGCTGGGCACGGTGGCGCTTGCCTGTAATCCCAGCTACTCAGGAGGCTGAGGCAGGAGAATTGCTTGAACCCAGGAGGCGGAGGTTGTGGTGAACCTAGATCGTGCCATTGCACTCCAGCCTGGGTAACAAGAGCGAAACTCCATCTCAAAAAAAAAAAAAGATCAAAAAAAAAAAAAAAGAGCTGGCCCTCCCAGCTCTGTTTAATAGTTGAAGAAACAGGTCTGGAGAGGTTGGAGGCATAATAAGTTAAGTCAGAGTCAAGCTTTGAACCCGGGTCTTTTGACTTAAAGTAAAACTTTGTTACAGGACTGTTTCTGCCATTAGGAAAGAGCCATACCAGGCATAGTGGCTTATACCTGTACTCCAAGCACTTTGGGAGGCCGAGGCAGGCGGATCACCTGAGGTCAGGAGTTCGAGACTGGCCAATGTGGAGAAACCCCATTTCTACTAAAAATACAAAAATTAGCTGGGCGTGGTGGCACATGCCTGTAATCCCAGCCACTCGGAGGGCTGAGGCAGGAGAATTGCTTGAACCTGGGAGGTGGGGGCTGCAGTGAGCTGAGATCGTGCCACTGCACTCCAGCCTGGGTGACAGAGTGAGACTCCATCTCAAAATAAATAAATAAAGATACAAAAATTAGCCAGGTGTGGTGGTAGATACCTATAATCCCAGCTACCTGGGAGGCTGAGGCAGAAGAATCGCTTTAACCTAGGAGGCGGAGGTTGCAGTGAGCCGAGATCGTGCCATTATACTCCAGCCTGGGTGACAAGAGTGAAGCTCTCTCTCAAAAATAAAAAAATCATTTGGTCCCCAGCTCTGTTTCATAGCTGAAGAAACTGAGGGCTGGAGACCTAGGAGGTATAAGACAGAGTCAAGATTTGAACCCTGGTCTTTGGCTTAAAGTAAAGCTCATTGTTGCAAGATTGTGCTATTGGGAAAGAACCAGGCTGGGTGTAGTGGTTCATACCTGTAATCCCAGCACTTTGGGAGGCTGAGGCAGGTAATTGCTTGAGGTTTGGCGTTCAAGACCAGCTTGGGCAACATAGCAAGGCTTCATCTCTGAGGTCAGGAGGTCTGAGGTCACACACACACACACACAATTAGCCAGGCACATTGGCACAAACCTGTAGTCCCATCTATTTGTGAGGCTGAGGTGGGAGGATTACTTGAACCCAGGAGTTTGAGGCTGCAGTGAGGTATGATTGTGCCACGGCATGTAAGCCTGGGTGATAGAGTGAGACCCTGTCTCAAGAAAAAAAAAAAAAAAAAAAAAGGAAAACAAAAACAAAAAACACATGGTATGGGAGAAATAGCATGGACTTTGGGGCTGTCCAAACCGTAGCTGAATCTGTGTTTGCTGGTTATATGAGTGTGACCCTGGCAAGGTACTAAAGTTTTTTGAGCCTTAGATTTCTTGTCTATAAAATGGAACAATGATACCTTCTTCCCAGGGTAAATGAGAGTGCTCTGTGGGAAAGTGAATGTGTGTGAAAGCTCCTGGAATTTGGTAGATGCTCAATTATTATTATTTTCCTAAGTAAATAACATAGTGCTTAAGACCACAGGTCCTGGATTTGAATCCCGGCTCCTCCACTTTGGGTTTGGCACTTCCCTGTGTCTTAGTATTTTTTTCTGTTAAATGCAGATAATAACAGTACTTACCTCATAGAGTCGTTTACAAATTAACTGGTTAATAAATTTAAAGCACTTACACAGGGGTTGTGGGGTGGTTTGGGCGTGGTGGCTCACTCCTGTAATCCCAGCACTTTGGGAGACTGAGGCGGCTGGATCAGTTGAGGCCAGGAGTTCGAGACCAACTTGGCCAACATGGTGAAACCCTGTCTCTACTAAAAATACAAAAATTAGCCAGCTGTGGTGATGTGCACCTGTAATCCCAGCTACTCAGCAGGAGAATCGCTTGAACCCAGGAGGTGGAGGTTGCAGTGAGCCAAGATTACGTCACTGTGCTCCAGCATGGGTGACAGAGCAAGACTGTCTAAAAAAAAAATTAAAATTAAAAATAAAGTACTTAGAGGTCAGGTACAGTGGCTCATGCCTGTAATCACAGCACTTTGGGAGTCAGGTAGATCACAAAGTCAGGAGATCAAGACCAGCCTGGCCAAGATAGTGAAACCCTGTGTCTGCTAAAAATATAAAAATTAGCCAAGTGTGGTGGCCATGCCTGTAATCCCAGCTATGCAGGAGGCTGAGGTAAAGAACTGCTTGAACCCAGGAGGTAGAGGTTGCAGTGAGCCGAGATTGCGCCATTGCATGATCTGAACCGGATGACAGAGCAAGACTCCATCTCAAAAAAAAAAAAATACTTAGTAAGTGAAGCATATGGTAAGTATTTAAAACATGATAGTTGCTCTGATCTGTAGCTTTGATCAGTTTCTCATTTTCCCTCCCTTGGCAGTCTAGAGACCTGAGTCCTGACATGGTGTCCTCTCCGCTGTGTTTCCTCTCTTCACTTCCACTTTCCTCCTCTGTCAGGTATTTTGTCAAAATGGCCTGGGCCTGGACGTTCTGTCTCCTCCTGCCTTTCATTGCCCTCACCAACTACCACCTGACCGGCAAGGCTGGTCTGGTCCTGCGGCGGCTGAGCACCCTGCTTGTGGGCACGGCCATCTGGTACGTCTGCACCTCCATCTTCTCCAGCGTCGAACACTACACGGGTACCTGCTACCAGTCCCCGGCCCTAGAGGGGGTCAGAAAGGAGCACCAGAGCAAGCAGCAGTGCCACCAGGAAGGGGGCTTTTGGCATGGCTTTGACATCTCAGGTCACTCCTTCCTGCTGACCTTCTGCGCCCTCATGATCGTGGAAGAGATGTCTGTGATGCATGAGTTGAAGACGGACCGAAGCCACTGCCTCCACACCGCCATCACCACCCTGGTGGTGGCCCTGGGCATTCTGACTTTCATCTGGGTGTTGATGTTTCTGTGCACAGCTGTTTATTTCCACAACTTGTCCCAGAAGGTGTTTGGCACCTTGTTTGGTTTGCTGGGCTGGTACGGGACATATGGGTATTGGTATCTGAAAGCCTTTTCCCCAGGACTTCCTCCCCAGAGCTGTAGTTTGAATTTGAAGCAAGATAGTTACAAGAAGTAAAAGAGTAACAAAGGGGGGTCAGAAGGACAATGACGAATCTGTGTTTTTAAAATATATTTTGCTTAGTTATTTGGCTAAATTATTGATCCTACTTCAGAGGGAAAGTGTACCTGGCAGTTTTGGTGGGTGGCACTGAAGTCTGGGGAGTGAGTTTAGTCCTCAGACTATTCTTGGCAACATCACCAGTGTCGCAAGCACCACCATTCCCAGTTAGGCACTTTTTGTCCCTGGCAAGGCTTGACCTTTGGAACACTCCTTTTGTCCCTAGGGTGGGGAGCTAAGGCTCAGCAAAAGGGCAGAATCAGGAAAGCCTCTACGGTGTGGCTAAAGGAGAGGCCAGAGCCTTGGGGCTCCTTTGCTGCCTTCTCCCAGGTTCTAATTGTCTTTAGATTTTAATGGCTCTTACTGCTGTTACTTAACAGTATTTCTGGCCAGGCACAGTGGCTCACACCCTAATCCCAGCACTTTGGGAGGCTGAGGCAAGCAGATCACCTGAGATCAGGAGTTGGAGACCAGCCTGGCCAACGTGGCGAAACCTCGTCTCTACTAAAAATACAAAAATTAGCTGGATGTGGTGGCAGGCGCCTGTAATCCCAGCTACTCAGGAGGCTGAGGCAGAGAATTGCTTGAGCCTGGGAGGCGGAGGTTGCAGTGAGCCAGGATTGCACCACTGTACTCCAGCCTGGGTGACAGAGCAAGACTCTATCTCCAAAAACAAACAAAAAACCCAGTATTTCCCACTTGTCAATTTTGCATGGGCATCTGTTTCAGGCAGGGTTCTTTATAAAACATCCTGATGCCTGAAGGACACTCTCTGGTTATAGTATTTGTTTCATCCATAAAACGTTTAAATATTGCAACTGGCTTGTGATTAGCCACTGAAACAGGCCCTTTAACATGCAGTGCCTCTCCGACCGAGTACTGGGTGATTCATATGTAATGGACTGAGATCATTTTCTGTCCATGTTTTCTATTACTATATGCTGGTTTTTTTTGAGCAATAAGATTACCTTTTTTTCTGTTCTATTTTGAGTGAATCCTTTACAGTTTTTGAAAAGAACTGTGGCATTTATTCTTTGTTGGTAAAACTCCTGAAAATAACTCACAACTCCAGTGCTGCCCTCTGGCATATGTAGATTGTTTTGAGGGTTGGCTGGTTGGTTTAGAACACTAATTTACTTGTTATAAACCAAACTCTGGGCTGATAGTCATAAATTCCACCTCATGGGGCTGTTTTCTCTGTAAATAGTGAAAGCTGGGCCAGGTGTAGTGGCTCACACCTATAATCCCGGCACTTTGGGAGGCTGCTGTGTGTGGATTACTGGAGCGCAGGAGTTTGAGACCTGCCTGAGCAACATAGTGAGACCACCATTTCTATAATAAAAATAAATAAATACTATAATAAAACCAGAAAGCAGGCATTTTAGTAACAGCCTCCTAAGTTTTAAGGTGAGTCAGGGTGACTTTGCAGAATGCATGCTTGCACTGAAACTCCCCTGACCACGTATCAGTGGCACAGACTGAACAGTTTGCTATAGGATCACGTGCCGAGTATCTCGATCACTCTGCTGTGGCCCAGGGCATCTGTACCTTTTGGACAAGATTATGATAATTCAGATGTGAAGTAAAATGCCTCCCTCAGATACGGCAAAAAGCCAATCTGTTTGCAAAATCACCCTTATTAAAAGGTGGCATGACCGTGGCCCCTCCCTCCTGTTAATTTGCATCACCAACCAAACCAAATCATACCTGGGCCTGTTCAACTGGCCTTGAAATCAGTTTACTGTTTCTTTCCCCTTCGTAGCACTTTTCACTTTCCAGCTTTGTCATTCTGTGGCCTTTGCTGTGACAGTGCTGGGAAGGGTTAGAAATCCTGTCGCCTTCATCCACAAAAGCACAGTTTCATGCCCTGTGATAGGATGTCTCCTGTTCTTTCTCAGACTATCTCCTTAAGCCTTTCAAACCAAGCCCCTTGCTGTTGGGGTAATCACCCTTCAAGCTGCCTTGCTGATCTCTAGTCAAGCCTGATAGTAGCAATAACTGAGAAGCACTACACCTGACTGGCTTCAGTCAAGCTTAGGTGGTTGAGGGTGATTCTTCGATGTAAAATTTTTTATATGAAGATATATTTTAAATATTTCATATCGCATCAAGTTGCAAGTTAACTTTATTAATCACAATGCACATGATACGTTGCACCAAAAAGGGGCAGAAACACAGGCGATGAGATATGGGAGGTGGCGCTATGGTGCTTTGGAGGCATTGGTACAATGTGACCCTCTGTTGCTTACATTCATAAGCCAGTGGTGGGAGTGGACATGGAGTGGGTGGCAGGGGCTTGTTGAAGGGATTGAAAGCTCTCCTAGGCCAGGCATGGTGGCTTACACCTGTAATCCCAGCACTTTGGGAGGCCAAGGTGGGAGGATCACTTGAGGCCTGGCCAGCCTGGCCAACATGGTGAAACCCCCTCTCTACTAAAAATACAAAAATTAGCTGGGTGTGGTGGTGCACACCTGTAATTCCAGCTACGTGGGAGGCCAAGGCAGAAGAATCGCTTGAACCCGGGAGCACAAGTTTGCAGTGAGCCTAGATCATCAAGATCATGCCGCTATATTCCAGCCTGAGTGACAGAGTGAGACTCCATCTCAAAAACAACAACAACAAAAAAAACAAAAAGGTCTTCTAAGTGTCATGTTCAGCACCAAAAGGGAATAGGCAAAGGCGACTCCAGGAGTTCATTTGTGACATTTAAATCTCCAGATATTTATTACATGTGGGTCTGATTTGGGCTCTGCACTAAATTAACTCTGTGGCAAGTGTCAGTTGCAGAGCCTTCTGTATCCATGAGGCTTCCGCCACTTGTCCATGCTGAGCACCCTTCCCTCTTCCTTGGGAGTATGCCTTCTATTCCTATGTGCGACAGCACGACTGACATGGAGAAAGGATTTGGGCTCAAGCGGACGTGAGATGTGGGTTCACATCTTGGCAACACTCCTGTTGTGTGTTGGCTGTGTGATCATGGCAGACCTCATTTTCATCGCCTGTAAAGTGGAGATGATGAGGGGAAATGGTGCCTGTACAGTGCTCAGCGTCTGCTTGGCAGGCGATGGTCTTCCTGCCTCCTTTCTCTTGAGTAAGCCTTTAGAACTTTCCACCTCCTTTAGAGAAGGTGGAGAAATGAATATATTCTGGGTGCTATTTGGAGTCTGGGTCTTTTGTTAAAATTGTCCTGTATTGTGTTGAAAAGTGTCCGTCACCCCCAGTTGCTCTACCAGAGGCTCTGGGAGCATCTGTGATCATAGAATACTGCCATCCTTATTTTGCCTATGTTGAGATCAGTTCACCGATGCCTCATTTTCCACGTGCATCTGTCATAGTCTGGGTACCAGATTGTATTTAGAGAATGGCTCTTGCCACTGTTATATATACACAGATCATGTGTGTAAACAAGCAAATTAAAGTAAACTGGAGATAATGAAATCCCACACTTTGGTGTTTTGTGTGTTTTTTTTCTAATGCTCTTAAGGAAGTGCAGAGCCCAATAAACCTCAGCCCACTTTGGGAAAGTAGGTAATTCCTTCTCAATTTAACTTGTCATATACAGGTTACTTTACGGCTGGAGTTGCTCCTATTTTTCCCCCTAAGTCTTGTAATATAAATGCGTGTTCAGTCATGTATTTTTAGCTTGACTTACTCCTTCCCTCTGTGCCCCTTCGTGTCTTTCAGTCCTTAGGTCAGAGTCAGCCAGACTTGGGAGCGGTGGGCCCTTGGCAGAGGGTGAAGTAGGCCTCACGGAAGCAGCACTGAAGAGCACTTTCATTGTTGACTCAGATGAGGTCCCCTTTGCCAGTGCTTTGTAGCCCTGGTGGCCTATACACATGTGAGAGCTTCTTGTGCCTTTTAGTGCCCAGTCGTTTGTCAGCCTGACCTGCTTGGCACGTCCAGGAAGTGTCTGTTGAAAGCTCCTTGGCTCCAAGATTAGAATCTCCTCCCATTGTAGAACGTCCCTGTTCAGATTCCTTCGGTAATAACTAACCCTCCTTGGGCCCACACTGTGAGCTGGGAGCTGGGGTGGAACGATAAATTCCCTCCCTCACGGAGACTAGTTCAAAGTCCATCCTTTTGTAGCTTAAGCTGTGTGCTGGTGAATTTGGTACGTCTCTGCCTTTGAAGAGTTTTCACTCTCGTGGAGAAGACCCATTTCCACCATAAAGTGTTCTGAGTGCTGGGGCAAGGTCAGGGCCAAGGACATAGAGCAGGGAACAAGCAGCAGCCCTGGAAAGCCAGGGAATGTTTTCACAGAAGGCAGCAATTCTTTGGGGTTTTGATGGATGAGGAGGGGTTCAAGCAGTTAGGCAGAGAAGGGAATCCAAGACAGTGGGGACAGCACACACAAAGGCACATAGATATGTTACCATGATTTTTATGCACACACCCATTTTTCAAGAAGCCTCACTTCTGTCATTTTACAAAGCAACCGAGATAGGAAGAAAGCCAGTCTTAAAGGACTGTGAGTGGAGATCATAGATACTCTGCTATAACATAAAGAGCACTCAGTGCTGTGGTTTAAATGTATTTTCCAAAGTTCATGTCCTGGAAACTTAATCCCCAGTGCAACAGCATTGAGAGGTGGGACCATTAAGAGGTAATCACGTTATGAGGATTAATCAGGATTAATGCCATTATTTTGGGAGTGGGTTTGTTGCCTTGAGAAGAGCATCCTTATAAAGGATGAGTTTGTCTCCCTATCCCGCAAAACCTTCAGCCATTTTGCCTTCCACCATAGGATGATGTAGCAGAAGACCCTTGCCAGATGCCAGTCCCTTGATCTTGCACTTCCCAGCCTCCAGAATTGTAAGCAGTAAGTCACTGTTCTTTATAAGCTACCCAGTCTATGGTCTTCTGTTATAGAAGAAGAGGACCAACGCTCAGCTGGAAGTTAGAGCACCCGGCTTCGAGCTGGGTTTGAGCTGAGTTCTGCTGCTCGTTTTTCCCCTCTTCGGTGTGACCTTGAACTAGTCACTCAACATCTCTGGGTTTCAATTTCCTCCTGTAATAAACGATGGGGGTGGACTGGATAATCTCACCAACTCTTTGAATCTTTTCTACTTGGTTTCTCTGTTCTGCTTGATGAAAAGTTCTTCCCAAGCTGACTGTAGCTTTTATTTTTGGAAACAACATGAAAAGAAACTCCCACTCAGAGCTGAGGTGGCAGCTGGTTTCCTGGTGAGTGATAGGGGAGCAGACCTCTGGGTGTATTTGTTGCAGCCCTGCCTCCTTTTTCTCTACATCAGCACACAAATGTAGGCCAGGCCTGGTTGTACACATTCATGGGTTTACTGGACATGGGGAGCTGGACCTAATTCCCGGAGGAATAAACTGCAGAGGTCTTTTGTTTATGTATGTATGTATTTATTTTTAATATTTATTTATTTTTTTGAGACAGAGTCTCGCTCTTGTCACCTAGGCTGGAGCACAGTGGCACAATCTCAGCTCCCTGCAACCTCCACCTCTTTGTTCAAGCGATTCTCATGCCTCAGCCTCCCGAATAGCTGGGATTACAGGTGCACGCCATCATGCCTGGCTAACTTGTATTTTTAGTAGAGACGGGGTTTCACTATGTTGGCCAGGCTGGTCTCAAACTCGTGATCTCAGGTGATCCACCCGCCTTAGCCTCTCAAAATCTACAAAATTAAAACATTTTTGATAGCTGTCAAGAAGATAGGTTCTGTTAGGAGAAACCCTTTACAGTTTAAACACCTTTAGAAACTGTCCCAGAAACCTTGAATATAGTCTCTGGGGAGTTTTAAAGTTGAACACACAGTACAGAAAACAGGTGTTCTCATACCTTAGGAGAAAGGGAAGTAAGTTGGTACCATCTGTTTAGATGGTGACCTAGTAGCAGGCCAGGTGTGGTGGCTCACACCTGTAATCCCAGTATTTTGGGAGGCCGAGGTGTGCAGATCAGTTGAGGTCAGGAGTTCGAGATCAGCCTGGCCAATATGGTGAAACCCTGTCTACTAAAAATACAAAAAGTAGCCAGATGTGGTGGTGCGCGCCTATAATCCCAGCTACTCAGGAGGCTGAGGCAGGAGAATTGCTTGAACCCAGGAGGTGGAGGTTGCCATGAGCCAAGATGGTGCCACTGCAGTGTAGCCTGGGTGATAGAGTGAGACTTCATCTCAAAAAAAAAGTTACTGGGGCCCTGCCCTAAGAAGCTGCTGTAGCTAATTTCCTACCCTCCACTCCTCTCACCCCTTCCTGCCTTCTGCCTGCATTTCCTGATCATGCTGCATCTGCCAGAGCCCCCCTGAGCTGCTGGGGAGTGCTGTGGGTGAATGGATGGGGACAAAGTGGACTCTCATCTGGAGTTATGAGAAGCACTTGACCTGGAGCCAGGCCGACTGTGTTCCAGTTCTGCCGATCAGCTCCTTAGCTGTGTGATCTTGGACCAATCACTTCATTTTTCTGAGCTGGTTACTCAAAATACTTTCTGCTGCACTAGTCTTCAATTGTCTTAATGAAGTCACAGGTTGGAAAATGTAAGCACCTATGGAGGCTACATAATATTATAGTTTTGTGTAAGGATGTCTCTCTCAGAAGCCTGGGCACTACAGCTCCTAAATATCCCCCAACAACCCTGAAATGACTCAGTATCATCAATAGAATAATAAAGAAATCAACGATGAATAATTTTAATAACTAGCATTTGTTCTAGATGTTTTTATTTAGTGTCTGACATCTTTACTGTATTTTCTCACCTGTAGTTACCAGCAACCTAGGCCATAGAGAAAATAGCAGTCTTTGGCTCCTAACACATCTGATGCTTCATATCCTAGCTCTGCCATTGTATGAGTCAGAGATTGCTATAATAATAAAACCGCCTTTGCAAAATTATAACAGGAAATTATGACAGTGAAAGAAATCAGACCTAACTAACTCCATCTTGCTTTTAACCTTTAAGCTGTCCTTGTTCATTCTTGGGCATAGGCCAAACTTTGGGAAGGAATTTAGTTCACGGTTTGACTCTGAAACAAAATTGATAATAGCCCTTTCCCAAAAAAACCATCTTCTTGCCTGAGGACCAGTCTGCCTTTGCAGGACTAACAAATTCACTACAAGATTAGAAATTACAGTTTAGGGGTCATGCAGCCTTTGCCTCCAAGAATCTGAGCCTCCCTAAATTGCTCCTGGCGACAACAACACTGTTGTAAAACCTAAGATCAGTGCTTGAGACATTCTGCACTCAGTGGATCAGCTGACACCCCCCCAGACAGGTAATCTGGCCCACCTAGTTCTGCTATCCCACCCAGGAACAGAAGATAGCAAGAAAACCTTACTTCAGTCCCCTATGATTCCATCTCTAACCTGAGACAATCAGCACTCCCTACTTCCCAAGTCCCTGCCTGCCAAGTTATTTTTATTTTATTTTTTTTTTGAGATGGAGTCTCACTCTGTCACCCACTGCAACCTCTGCCTCCTGGGTTCAAACGATTCTCCTGTCTCAAACTCCCATGAAGCTGGGATTACAGGCATATGCCACCACACTCGGCTGATTTTTTTAAAAATAAAGATAGGATTTTACTATGTTGGCCAGGCTGGTCTCAAACTCCTGACTTTGTTATCCGCCCGCCTTGGCCTCCCACATGAGCCACCGCACCCGGCCACTTTTTTGTATTTTTAGTAGTGATGGGGTTTCACCATATTGGCCAGGCTGGTCTTGAACTCCTGACCTCAGGGGATCCATACCCAGCTAATCTTTGTATTTTTAGTAGAGACCAGGTTCCACCATGTTGGCCAAGATGGTCTCAGTCTTCTGAGCTGGTGATCTGCTCACCTCAGCCTCCCGAAGTGCTGGGATTACAGGTGTGAGTCACTGCACTCAGCCCAAATTATTTTTAAAAGCTTCGATCCCTGAATGCTTGAAGAGACTGATTTGAGCTTGAGAGACTGATTTGAGTAATAATAAAACTTCAGTCTTCTGCACAGCTGGCTGTGCATGAATTACTCTTTCTCAATTTAATTCTTCTGTCTTGATAAATCAGCTTTGTCTAGGGGGTGGGTAAGGTGAACCCATTGTGATTACAGGTGTGCGCTAATTTTAATGCCCAGCTAATTTTAATAGCTGGGTTACAGCAATGCTTTGTAACAAGCCACCCCCAAATTCATGGGCTTACAAATGCTCACAGATCACTTGCAGCTCTGCTGGTATGGTATGTCTTCAGCTGGTGAGTTCTGCATCAGGCTGCCTGTTGGCTGCGCTTGGCTCCAGGCCGCAAGCTTGGCTCTGCTGTTCCACTTGTTTCATTCTGGTGTCCAGACTTAAAGGGCAGCAACTACATGGGGCATGCTCTTCTCATGATGGCCACTGGGGCACTGAAGCCTTGGCCAAATCATACAGCACATTTAAAGCCTCTGCTTGACTGGGTGTGCTGGCTCATGCCTGTAATCCCAGCACTTTGGGAGGCCAACGTGGGCAGATCAC